GCGCCGAGGTCGTCGTGCCCATGGCATGGCCTCCGCAGCTCGTTCGAACGAGAGGAAGCGGCAAGCATTAACTAAACCGCTATGTTTAGTTAATCGGCACGATTCCTTGTTCGATGTGCTGCAAGACGTGCTGCAATGCACATGCACATGAAGTATGTTGACGCCGACAACGGCACGTGCGCTGATCCGCGCTGGCATCGACGCAGCTGATGCACGCGATCTATCTATCCATCTATCTATCCATCTATTCATCCATTTAGTCACATGAAGGCATCAACCCTAACTGCTGTGAGATCTCACGACCTTACGATTCAAAAATGTATTTCAACGTTTAAAAGTCGGCAAGCGATTGGTCGTAGGAGGGAAGTCCCTTAGAGCTTGGACGCAAGAATCGGCTGGAGGTACTTGTGATACCCCTCCACAACGTCCGTTTGGTTGAGCGGCTCCTTGGCCGCACGCGCAATCAGCGCCCGGTAAATGTCACCGTCGTACCTACAACCCCAACCTCAGACAACCCTGATCCTCGTCAACAGAAGGTACCGTCCGATGGCCGAGTTGAGCTCGAAATCTGTGATGCCAAAGCCGTCCACAAGCGCCACCGCGTTCGGACGCAGCTGCGGCAGCAAACTCAAGCGACCGTCCGTCACCCACGTCGCCTGGGTCGCGCTGAGGTAGTCGTCCATGCGGAACTCGCCGAGGTGCTCGCTCATGCGCCAGAGCGCGTACAGTTGCCAGAGCTGACGCATGGCGTTGCGCAGCGCGGTGTCTTGCATGTGACCGACACCGTCGTAGAAGCACTGGAGGATCACCGACTCGGCGTGGCCCATCGATGCGCGTGTGATGCAGTGCATGGACGCCCGGTGGCGGTCGGCGACGAGCAGCGTCTTGAGTGCGCGCACTTGGAACGCGCGGAGGAGTGTCGACGGCTCGAGCAGCATCTCGGGTGTCATCGCATCGCACGGCGACGACGCGTCCACACGCATGTAGCCAAAGAGGTCCATCGATGAGGGCGGGCCTGGCGCGGGCTTGTGGAGACGCTTGAGGAGCGACGCGCCGTGCTGCTGGACGAGCACATCGAACGTGCCTTCGTACGTGCACGCGCCAATGAACTCTTGCATCAGGTGCGGGATGTTGCTCGACGCGCTAAAGCCGTGGCCACCGCAGGCGCGGCGCGCCCGCTCCATGCCATTGCCGACTTCGGTCGTCAGAAGCGCCTTCAAGCCCGACGACGTCGCATGGAGCTGGTTGAGCATATCGAGCTTGTCTACCATCCAAGGCGTGAGCGTATGACAAGAATGTACTGACGTACGCGCGTCCATGGAGCCGCCGAGCGCCGAGACCATGCTGTCGTAGATGCTGGTGAGGCGGCGCGAGGTGAACATGGCGGCGTAGCTGAGCCCAATGAGCGGAAAGAGCGTGAGCTGCTGGTTCTCGTAGGCAAGCACGGGCACTTCCTCGGTCTTGCTACCACGCACATAGCCTTGGAGCCGCGCGGCGCTGAATCGAGTCGCGATCGTCACGACAAACGCCATGTACCTAGAGATGTCGATCGACGTTGCTAGCGCAAGAGAAAGTTGGGTACCGGTAGCAAATGTACGAGATGAAGACGCGGACGCGGACCATGGTAAAGTACACGAGCTTGTCGGTCGGCGGCTTGACAAAGTCGCCGTTCGGCAGTACTTTGGCAAAGCGCATGAGCATGTGTCGGCGCGGAATGCGTACTTGGTCGAACGCGCAGTAGCTATCACAGACGATCGTCAGGAGCTTGCCACGTCATGTAGTCGTTCGTACCCATTGTCGACCGACTGAAACCCAATCTTGGGGCCAATGTCGCCAATACTAATGCCACGCAAGGGCATGTGCGTTGTCATGTCCCGCAGCGGCACCAAGAAGGCCTGCACACCGCGGTCCTTGCCGCTAAGTGTCAGTCGGGCATGCACAACGGCGTGGTTGGCGGTCTTGCCGAGACCACCGGGCCACCACTTGCGGCTCGTGAGCGTCGGCGAGTGCAAGACAAACTCTTCGGTCGTTGCGTCGTAGATCGCAGTCGTCTCGATGCCTTGGACGTTGGAGCCGTGACCGAGCTCGGTTTGGGCGTACGCACCGAGGATCTTGGCCTCGCGCGCGAGCGGGAGCCAGTAGTCGCGCTGCTCGTCGTCCATCTGTGTCTCGAGCGTCGGGATGAACATGGACCGGTGGACGTCGATGGGCAGCGGCTCGCCGAGCTGGTAGTAAACAAACTGCTGCTCGTCCGGCGCCGTGATGTTGTGCGCTTCGAGGAAGGACACAAACGCGTGCGACTTGGCGAGCGCGACCTCGTACCGCTCCTTGTGGTTGCGGTACATCATGTCGCGGTCCGAGAGGACCGGGTGCGCTTCGATAAGCGACCGGAGGTGGGCCATGCGCGCCTGCCACGCCTTGGAGCCAAGCACGAGGTCGACGCACGTCGCAGTCTGGAAGGTCGCGGTCGCCCGCTCCTTCTGCAGCAGCTGCGGCGCGACGTCGGCGAGTTCTTGTGGCATGTTGAGCGAAGATACGATAATGGCCTTGCCTTCTTGCGTCGACGGCTCGCTGATGAGTTAATCCACCCGACTTGCAAGCCGCGCCGGCCACGACTGCAACCATCTGGTCGGGTTTGACTGCATCGTCGTATTTGCATACAAACACCAAGTGTATCGCTCCGAGGCTGTTCGAACGGCCAGCGAGCTGGATACGATGGGACGCGGGCCGTTCGGATATCTCGTCGAGACTTCAACATTCGATCTCGCACGGGCGTGCAAAAATCGCGATTACATTCGAATATATGTACCAAATTGCAGTGTTGTAGCAACGTCACACTTCGGGATGTACGTAGTTTCTCAGTCGCCACCCCTTACCATAGCTATGTACATGTCGAGACGAGGGGCCAACACGTGGCCACGTTTACGCGTTAATACAGAGCCAGAAATGACACGTCAGCACTCCTGTTGCCAATTCAAGCCAACACCGATCAGAAGTAGACGCGGTGGTTGTGAAGGGACTTGGGCCCTTTACCTTATCCGTGTCGACTAGTTATTGCACTGAAGGACAAGGACTATTCGTTCAGCGAGAGACAAGT